CGATCTACTGACTACTATCTACCGCTGTAAATTCGGATTCAGAAGCACCAGCAATTTTCAATGAATTTCCAAAGCAAGATGAATCAGAAAAACTGTGCCAGCTTGTGGCCCCTTCGGATTCATTGGAAAAGCACGCCTAACTCAAAAACATGTGTACTCGTAGAATGTGTATGGAATGAATGATAGCTCTGAGCTCGGCTTGTTCTTATCACGTACTTTTGTTGCTAAAAGTACAAACGGTTTGATTTTTCAGAAAAAAAAATACGTCTGGGGCACAAAGTACCGTGTTTTGATTTCGTCTTTGATGTGATTCTCTGAAGGAAATGAATACTTTTATAATATCGAAACTCTGTTGCTCAGGACGAATTATTTATTTATTTAATCCTACATAGAGGATGACTGCTGGTTGGGGAGAGGATAGTACTCTTCATTGATAACTCGACAAGAACTCCAACAAGCGATCGATGGCGATATTTCAACTTTTTAATACCGCGGGCGTTACATTTTTCGAAAAAAGGCTCCTGACAATTGAGAAGTGCATAGAACTACCCTCTGAATTTGGAATGGCGAAGTTACAGTCCAACTCGTGGACAAAAAAGCATGGAAATGTCTTGCAGACCAAATACCGAGTTCAAGGCCTGTCCTAAACGATCTTCAGAATTCATCTGTTAACACAGAAGGGATTGGATACCGGACTAGTTCTTCTTTACTTACTGAAGCAAGTTGGATGCAATGTAGTTGAGTTCTTCTAATGAGCTCGAAAATTCTCAAGGATTTGGCATGATCTTCGTAACCAGAAACCTTTGTGGAACAAGGACTTGAGAGGAACAGTGGCACTTGACCAGTCCGATCTTCACAGATAGTTATCACATGAGTGCTTTCCAAGTTCTAATGGTCCTGAGATTACTGGATCGAGCAGTATTTTGCGAAAGATGCCCTTCTGCAAAAACAAGCCCGCATCGTTAAGTCAAGATGCCACCACACTCGCTTGTGGAAGGTGTTTGTCGTTCCCTACATACATCTGCTTGACAAAGTCTCTCTGTACTTTTGACGTGCCAATATCAAAAGCATGTGACAAGGGCCATGCTTTTCACGCAGTTGTTACTAAGGAATTTCATGCAGTGCTCACGATAAACACATTTCTCAGACTGCATGTATTTGTGGATCGGTTTTCGGTTTCCAAAAGTAAAAAAGTGCTCGAAGTCGACCAATCCTTTTGAAATTCATCTTGTTCTTAACTTCCAATCAAATACATAGGTACACACATTCAAATGCTTATACGACTTCTATAAGCAGCTGTAGAAGCAGCAGGTATTCGAGGCAAGTAAACTCTAGTCAAACTAATCTCGAGCTTTGCCCTTAACTTGAGAGTTGTACGAGAATGAGGAAGAAGGAATGTTTGGCTGCTTCCATTTATGCTGTGTATTTGATCCCATTTAAGAATGCACCTGTAACAGACAAGCATTTCATGTTGGGGCACTTACCAATTAGTCCCCTAACGTTTCGACAAGTTCGTCGTCCACAGAGACGGTGAAAACTCTCTGAAATGTCGCCCTTCATATTTGAGCAAGAACTGTAACTTGATGGCTTTTTTAAGAATGCTCTTAAGAATTGTCTCTGAGATTTCCAACTACTGTGGCCTCCAATTACGCTGTATGGGCGGTTTCGAATCAAAAGACTGTTTCGATAGGGCGCAATGGGGGCTCAAAAACCAGCATCGTCGACATACACACCTAGAGGCTGACGAATTATAAGGACGTTGTAAAGGCTGCTCCATTAACAAGGAACAACCTTTTTAGCACTTCAAGCAATTACTCTTAACTCATGACGACTTTGGAAGAGAATTATGGGAATATTTGGCTTGGTGTAGTCAGCTCTTCGCGCATTTGCAACAACTTGAATCTCGTCCAAATACCCCTTCAATGTCATTTCCAACCTTCGATTTTCACTACTTCCAAGAATCACTGAATTCCAATAGTTTTGCGGATTTTCCCACTTCCATCGCCACAGACGCTCTATTTACCACCAACGCTTCAACATTATCGTGAAGTAAGTCTGAACTAGTCGCAACTCAGACCAGAGAACTTCAGGCGAAGCCGAAATACCATTCCTACTATCAAATTTCGGAGGGTTGTAAGGTAAGAGACTACATCAATACCAGTCGGTGAGTTGTCGCTTGTGATCGGACTCGCGACACGGAAAACTGTTTTATCTTCCTGTGCAGGGGAGCTATAGACTGTGCATAGGTCTGTCTGTCAACCATACGTGAAATGGTAGACTCAAGAGACTACAAAGGCTTTCTGTGTTCATGTAGAACGAATTATAGGTGGTCAACGAAAGAAAAGTGGATTGCGCCGATCGGTAAGCAGGAGAGAGAGAGAGCTATGGTCACGGCTTTGGAATCAAAGGCACCACTCCGGCTTATGAGAACAATGAGGTAATAAAAAAGAACCGCTCTGAAAGAACTCTAGAAACCTAGCGTGAAAACGTGGAGGCAGAAATGAATTCATCGAATTAGTTGCTGATCTTCTACCTTACAATTCATTATAGGAGTTTTGATAGAGAGCAGCCACACGTGCGACCGGACAGGTTCACATGCACCATTTCAGCGAAGTTTGAAAAGCGCTCAGTGGTATTGATGTGTGTAAACCGATAGATGGATTCACCTCTACTCGACATTCACGGGTAGACATTCACGGTTGAGTTACAACCAGTTAGGATTCGGTCTTTGTCAAATGCGACAGGTAACAGACAGGTAACATTTCGAAATGGGTGGAGTTCTTTAGAAATGGAGTTCCCTGGAGACGTTAAAAATGGATTTTGAGGTTGCACTATGCACAATTTATGATAAATAAAGTTCACAACAGTAGTAGCATAATAAAATTATGTTGCAAATTCTACATAAAACTTAAAAATATGGTAACAAGTAATTGAACAGACAAAAAATATTAGAAGTAAGATTAACTAACAAACGCACAAAAGAAGATGAAGAAGATGGATTACAGAAGGCGAATTAAATTTCCTGGTGAGCGACTTCATACAGCTAGCCTATGATCAACCAGCCCCAAAAGAAGACTTAAAAAAGAAATCTTATAGCTTCTTACTAATCTATAGCATGGAGAACGTAATTCATCCATTCTCGCTATTTTCTGCAGTCTAGAAGCCAGAAGCGAGGAAGACACCAGGAGCAATGAGTAACTCTTTCCCATTGAAGCGCATTCCATTAAGCAGAGACAGGAAGAGTTCATTAGGGACGAGTTTTTTTTTGTGTAATCAGCCCTCACTGGGAAAAGCCCAAGTTTCAAACAAAACAGTAACTTTGCAGCCAACACAGAACACAACACCTAGGTTCGATTGCCCTCCAGAGGTGGTAACGTTGCGAAAATGTATAAACTAAACGAAATAGTGTTAGAATCAAATGATTTCAGAATTGTCCCAAGAGTTGGAAGAGGAAGGGTTACTCTACATTTAGCCAAGCTGAGGAGCTAACTAAATATACCACAGACTCAAACACGTGTAGCGGAACCCGTAACATGTGAGTTCTGGGTGAATATTGGCAAGAATGGGGGCTCTCTATTTATAACAAATGGAAGAATGTGGCCCCGTAGAATATCTATTTCACGGATATTAAAATAATTGCGTATTCGAGCTAATAAAGATACTTTCCGTCTCTTTACACCCGTTTCTCTTTACCTCTTTGCCCGAAACTTCTGGAACTTTGAAGGGGTGGCACTTTTCAGAAGAAGACTCCGGGCAAGACGATGGAGAAGGTGAAGTTAGAGCACAAAGCGTCCTTTTGACTTTTGTATGATTAGAAGAGAGCGTGGAACTTCTTTGTTAGTCTATGTATGTAACTATGAAGCTAGTCGCCGTTTGGCCCTTAAATGGGAACGTGACGAGAAAATTACTGAAGCTTTTCGGCTTACGGCTTCCGGTTTACCAGAAACTGCTTTATTCGCTCAACGGTGGTTGGGCAGTTTTCAGGTAGGTGGGTCTAGTAGGTTCCTAAGGAAATGTAGAAGTGTCGCTAATGTGCTAGTGAGTTCTTTATAACCGAACATGGTTGCATATTGGTCAAACTTACTTGTACGAGAAAAGCGTCCTTCCACAAAACGATGAATTCGTTTTGGAAAGTTGTTCACTTTGTTTGGACCGAAAATACAGTGCTCCGAGAACATTAGCGACGGTGGCTCCATTGGATGTGCACAGTCAGTTAGAAGTACAACCCATTACCCTTTTCCGATTCATTAACTTGAACAATTTTATAGAACGAACTTACTACTACTGCTCCACACAAGGTGGTTCCTGAAAACGTCGCATTAGCCATCTCGCATTCGAGCTCATCTACTTTTCTGAAAAAAGAATAGAATTCGTTGCGTATTTTCACAGCGCCTTCGACGTAGCCCCGCCCCGGAACCTCTGATAGAGCTCCCCTTCAAGTAAGTTTTTATAGCTACTACCTTTTGTCAAGCGATAGATTACCGTTACTTGTTATTTTCTAAATCTATCGGCGTAGTGTGGATTATCCTAAAAACTCAAACAATCGAAAGCGCGTGGAGCCTCTCCAACCAGAAGAGCTTCCGGCTCTTGATATGTCCAATGAGGAGTACATACAACTGATTTTTTTTGAACGCTCACACCGTAAAAATTTTTTTAAAACACCATAAAACAACCAATCGAGTTCTTCCATAAATACAACCAACCAGTGCATTTAAAACAACTATATTAGTACATACCTCGAAATACAATTATTGCAAAGTGCTCCCTAAAAATTATGCAACTATCTAATTTCTAAAGTGACCTCTTACGTAATAAATATGAATATATGAGGAGAAGCAGTGACCAAGAACAAGGCATGAAAAGATCCAACTCATTTATCACAGAGAAACCTGTCTTTCTGAGCGGTTAGGCTGCAAAAAATGACATGTAACTACCCAGGTACAAGTCTTACAAAAACGAAAGACAACCAAATCAAAAACAGGATGTGACCAGAAGAAAAATTACAAAAGGAATGAGGTGGCAGGAGTTGAAAGTGAAGCGAGCTCCCGGAGAGCTGCGTTTAAAAGTTCGGCATTCCCTGAAAAATATGCCGCCAACGCACTTTGCAACTGCTCTAATTGCTTTGACATTACTTTGACACGATTTTCTTCCAAAAGCCGCAATTTCACCTGAAAAAATTATTTACATTTTTTTAGAAAAAAAAANAAAAAAAAACAATGAAAAAAGCATATAAATGCGATTAGCAGATTTTCTACACACCCGAACATCAGCTTTCAATCCTTCGTATTTGTCCCGGTGTTGATTTGCTTTATCACTAGCAACCTGAATGGCAGTTGGGCTCGCAGTAGCATGACTATGCAACGACTCCAACTCGTGACGACTAACGTCAAATTCGATCCGAGCCTGAAAGCAATAGTTTGAATCCTAAGCTTCAAATTGCTGTTACAGTTATGCCATTAATGAACACAACGATTAACTATTTATGAGTTATGATCTGGAATGTAATTGGAAAAACCGTATTTTTTCCCTACTTTTGAAATGCAGCGCATTAAAAACGTACCCCTTCAGTTGCATAGATTGTCTCCAATGTGTCAACTATAGTTTTTGCATGTAGAGTCTCCATCGAAGATAAGAAGTACCGCAAGCAACCATCTAGGGCAACAGCCTGCTCTGCCACACGCCGCATAGACTCCGAAGTCGTCGTACATTGAGGCTGAAACGAAGAAACTTCTGGCGATGAAACATTTTCAACGACATAACCGTCCTAAACAGGCAACTCAACAGGAACTCATAGTTGTTGCAAAATGATATGACCGATTATCAGGCATGGCTTGCAACAAGAAAGTCAGGAAGCCCCCTGCGGAATGTTAACAAACACTTATTTTCGCCTTGCCTCTTTACAAAGACTAACTTCATTGCTCAGAGCTAGATATTAAGATAAAAAAGAAAAGAAGGTTAGTATAACAGAAGGAGAGACCCAATATTGTTATAACTAATAAGCTGCAATTAATAAGAGACACGGGAAATGCAATCGAAAAAACGAATAACAGCCGGAACTGGGCTTTTTAAGAATGCAAAAAATTCCAGGCAAAAATTATAAAAGGTCGCATACTTCCTGTGCTGTGACTTTTTGCGACAGATTGAACGGAAAATTTTCTTGAATGAAAAACTCATCCGTTAATAACATGGAAACTGATATGCTTACTTTGATGGCAAGTTCTTTAACTGACAGCTGTTGAAGACTCTCAGCAAGATTTTTCTCGGCTTGAGCCAGCTGAGTCAAGAGATTGGTGAACTCACGTGCAGCGTTGACTACACATCCATACCTGAAGAATACGGTCCTCATAAACAAACTATTTGAAAAAATATGTAGGAGTTCCAGTACACACCTCCTATGCAGTTCTTTGAGTTCTTCACATTCCTTTTCGAACTGCTCGTCGGTAGTTTTATCAATCTAAAGATATGATTCTAAAAAGAAATAAAAAGATATTGATGATCATCAGTCACCTTCCCCATATGCTCCAGTAATTGTTGTCTTGAGTTCTTAAATGTGCCAATTGTCCACTTTTTCAATGACTCAACCTTTGCAACTACATCGACACTGAAACGCTTTGATAGGCCGATGATGTTACTCATTCATCAAATTCAGGGTGATGCAAATAATCAAATTATGCTATCACGGGTTTGGAATCAAAAAAGTGTAAACATATAACGTGCGAGGAATAAAAAATTGCCTACTGGAAAATAAAAATTTACGAACAGCGGAAAATCGAGAACGTAAACTAGTAATAAAATGTTATGAACACACTTCCCAACAGCTTCTGCCATTTTTGGTAAGTTGGGAAAGCGACTCATCACATCTGTACCATCTGCGTTGGCTTCTGTACCTTAAAACATTCATTTCTCAATTACCAATCGAATCATTTCATGAGCATAAATTTCCACGGCATAAATGTGCCATCATGATCTTACTGCAGAAAAGGAAGAAGGGTAGATAACCCTGATGCTTTTATCGACCACAGGCGCAACATATGACGAATAAAACTTTGCTCCTCGAAATCATGGATTTACGAATGAAATTACGATGAAGTTAATACACAGGCGCTTCTTGGTATTTATTTTGAAAGCGTAGTGATGAATACTCTGAATAGGTTATTACTCATTAACGGGGACAATGATGACAAGAAAAAGGGAAAGAAGTTAGCTCAGAAACTAAGGCATGCATCAGAGATCGATTGCCATGAAGAAAGGAGAGGCTCACAAACTGATATAGCGCATCATGGGTTCCTTATGCTGCCCATAATCATAAACGACACATCTTTCTGACAAGCAGCAAATAAAAAACACATTCAAGCTCTCACGACTGGACACCTTTGATAGAGGAAAACTAACAAGGAATCTCGAGAAAGCTTTCTTAATATCTTCGTAAATCAGCTGCATAACATCATCAACCTACCGCTCAAGCTATTTCTAAATGCTGTAAGGATAATCGCTCAACAGAATTCATGCGTAATGAATTTCGCAACTTATACCCAATGCCGGAACCTGACTGGTAGTCAAGCACACCTTTCCGCCACCACACTACTTATCGTAACAGATAAGGCCAAACTTTGAGTGGCAAACAGAACCTCTTCAAAAAAAAAAACAACGGATTAAGTTGCCAAACGGTCCTCTGGCTTAGAAGAACGACATATTTGAAATAACATTGAAGAAATAAAGAAATAGTACGCTTTCGATATCACCGGTTCGTTTGGCACATCAACTAATAGGGTGACAAATAAACGACTGCGTATTTTCTGACTACTTCGAAGAACTACATGAAAGCGTTAGGCGTTGATCTTCGAAGTGATTTATCTTCACAGACCTAGTTAGTACTTTTTTACTTATGGGCAATTTATTAATGAATATTAATGAAAAAGGTAAGAACATTTTCTTCAAATATGCGCGATCACTTAATTGCAAATAATAATGCTAATACTGCAAACAGAACTGCGCAAGGAGTACGTATATTACTCACTGTTGAAATAGAGACCCTCTCTACTAGTCCAGACCGCGTCACACTTGAAACATTAAACGATTCAAAGAAGAATTTGGTCCTTATTACCAAAATGGTAAGAACTTTAATGTTCATTGAAAGAATTCAGAGGCAATTGAATCAAAAAGGAAGCCTGACCTACCTGAAGTAGCAGTTGTACTTGGATCACACCGCACTGATGGTTGAAAGATGTTGTTCTCTGACATCATCTGAGCGAAGTGTGGCAAATTAAACTGATAACCTTTTTTAAACATTTAAATGACAAACAACATTGAAAACAGTCTGGGACTGCAACCCCTAGCTGTAGAATGAAACACGAATCAAGGGGTAAATAGAAATTTAATAAATTTATAAATATTAACAATTATTATGTACAATGCGGCACCGCTACAAACAAAGCAACGATAAATTTCATCTTGCTTATATATTGAACCTCATTTGGTATAATAAAGGGAGCAACATAGAAGAGTGCGAAATCTTGATGAAAGAAAAGAACAACGTGACAGCAATGATATCGCCATACTGTGTAGAAATGAATGGTGAAAGCAATTTTCTCACAGTCGCAGCGCAGAGATGGTGTACAATGGATTAAAATGCGAGAACTATTCAACGAAATGAACCGGTGCTTCAAATTCGTCTTCACGAAATACAGCACTTATTGCTCGACTGTTCACTGATATTCCCTCGTGCAAGTTCGATCTGGTGAAGCATTTTGTCGAAAATCTGATGCACTGCCTAGAACATGCATAAATTATTTTAGCACCAAAATCTCATCGATATAACACTTTAACAAGGCTGTATAGCCAGAAAAAACTGTGCATAACAAATTTGTATCTGATAAAAGAAAAGTATACTGCAGCTGAGATAAGCTTAGCCATCCAACCGAAATGAAGAATGATCATTCAAAAAAACTGCCCATCATTTGTATTCATAGTGAAGTGTGCTCCGGCAATGAGCGGAGGGAAAGGTGTAATACAGAAAATCGAACCGATAAGAAGATAAAAGGGTAGGATATTAGAAATCGAACGATATGGCATTTACCTTATAGAATCCTTACAAAGCTATAATGAAAATATATTCGTTGATATTCGCTGAAAACAGTTTTGACGTTTTACCTTCTCCGTTGCATAGTTTGGCGGTGTTGAAATGGTGAAAGTAATTAACTGCAGCAGCAAACAAATCAAATAGAAAATAAACCGAAAAAAGAGGGGTTTAAAAACAGTGTCTTCAGTTGACCCAGAAATAGGGGAGGAGAGGTAATGAATACATGATCATAAGAAGGTTATGAAAGTTGAGAAGAATGAAAAGTCCTGTTTAGCGTATTACCACTTGACTCATCGACAAACATTCCGAAATAAACAATAAACGTAGAAATTAATTACAAAAAAACACTTGACTGCGTAAACAAAAGATGTTCGAATAGCTTACAGTATTGTCCTTAGCTGATGTCTCAATGAAAGCAGCTCTCCATTTTTGAGCTAGTTTCGAACCGTCTTCTCGAGTAACCATGCGAGATACATTTTGCAAATCCAATTTATTACCCACTATAACAATTGGCACCCTGGAAAGAACTTTCTTGGAACCGATTAAACAAAAATTACCAACAAATCCAAGCAAAATCGTTACTTATTGTCTCCTATAGTCTCCATAATTTTATCGTGAATAATTTGAATGATTTCGAACCTAAAAATGTAGCTTCACAATGGTAAATTCAACGTTTTGTTCAACATAGGGATGAAAGCAGAATCAAAAGTCTTACGATTTTTTATCGTCTATAGCATACACTAGGATAAAGCCGTCAATATCAACAGAACAACTCCGAGGGAATATTGAGTACTCCTGTTGTCCAGCAGTGTCTAAGATACAACATTTTTCAAAAGATTTAATGGTAACTAAGATCCGAAGAGTGTAATCATGAACAATATAACATCTTTCTCAATAGACTAGTGAACCTATGTTCGAAGAAAAAGATGAGATCGATTTTAAAAAACTTGCCAATTCTTCCCCTGACAATAAAATATGGTAGGACAGAAGACAAGGACAGTAATTTGGTAGTGATTTTTTTCAAGGTCAATTTCTCTCTCTGAGGAGAGAAAGTATGCAGTATGCACCTTACCCTAACAGGGATTGACTAAAATTTCGCCAGGGAGTAGCAAAGTGAAATCAAGTAAATAATTTCGCTCTAATTCTAACAAATTCTCAACGGCCAAATGCTGAAATCGTCTGGTAAAATAGAGCAAAAGAATGTATGCGATATTAATGCCACAATTGATAGATACCACCTGAATGCTGGCCACCATATTTTTTTTTTATATTCCCACTACATATACTTAATTACCGAGAGAACCCGCAGCGACAGAACCATTGAACTTCAAGAGGGCGACGCAAACCCTAACATGTGAAACTCCTCGATGCAAACTTCTTTCCTTCAAAGAGCGAGTTTTTGATTAGTTTGATAGAGCTCCCCACTTCCTTATGTCACCACTTTTGCAATAAACTCCCTCTACAAAAAGAAGCGAAAACTTTCGCAAGTCAGTATGCATAGCCCAGCCGTTATATCAAAGAGCACGTTCGAAAAACCACTGATGTATTTATGTTACGAGAATTGCTTCCTAGTGTTCTTGGCTTTCACAAAGATTCATAGGCATCTACATGTCTTTCCGTATTTATTGCTTGCAGGAAAACAAAGACATGAATGAGCTTTCATTCCTCGCTCACACGTAATAGTGCGCGTGACACTGCAGAGAAGTAAAAAACGCCTCGTGACTCACGTGATGGACACGATTATATACTATTCCAGAATACAAATGTTGAAATATTATAGGAAAAGAAACAGAAGTTTAAAACGAAACCAAATCATAAGGCAATAAGAATAAAACCTCAAACAACAACAATGCTCACCTGTAATTTTCAGGTTGTAATCCCGACCAAGCCAACGATAAGATTTGTTGTGGAGATCTTCTATAGTTGTATCATATGCATCGGGAAAATGTCCTTGGACAAATCGTAGCGTAATTGATGACTTTCCTATATTTACGAAATTTAGGCGTATTCAAACGCGGGAAGGGTCAACTCACCAACACAAGGATATCCCATTAAGGCGATCTTCCGCGTAATAACGTTCTTAGAGCCGGTCGCCATGGTACAAACTGCTATAACTGGCAGACATACAATTTAAATAAGAATATTTTTAAAGCGAAATACTTTACTGAACAAAAAGTTTGGGCCAGCCAAGTATCACGAATTTTGTTGGACGACCTCACGCGCATTTCAGCGCGTGCGGTCGCGTAACGGTTTTCGGTTAGGGCGCACCAAGGCCTTTTTTAGGGCCAGGCCGTATGCCTACTCATAAGGTATTGGCTGGGTAAACATGGCTGGAACCGGAATAGGATCTAAGAAAGAAATTTTTTAGTACTCTCTAGGGGTGCCACTATGGGATGAAATGTATTAAAAATAGTGAATCTCGCAAACTGTTCATAAAAAAGAAAACCGAGTTTTGGTCCTCCGCTGGTCGCTAGTGGCTTGAGATAGTTTTTGATGACCAAATTGGGCTTTCCACTTGAGCACGGTCAAGAAGTACCACGGAAATCGAACCAGTTGACGACCAATGAGAATTACTTTTCGATTGAAGATTCTTACCTCAAATTTACCAGCTTTGAATGCCAGTTCTTGAAAGACCTTTATCCTGAGTCCCATCATAATGAATGGCTCCAGTTGATACTCCTTGTAAATTGAACCATTGTCCCACTGAAACAACCAAAACTCAATAGATATAGTCGAAACCTTCATTTCACTGAAGTTGTACACTGCTAGAAACCAATTAAGAAAGCGATGGGTATATACATAAATATATCCTAAGGAAGATCGAACCGTGAAGATAGGAATGAAGCTTTAAGACATGGTATGGGAAGAAAGCTCGATCTAAACCAGTTCGAAATAAGCCTATTTCTTTTTCAACAAAAATTACTTAGCAAAACTGATCACAGGATTGGCTATATTGGTGTCTATCTAAGTTCAATGAGTGCACTTTGTATTAGTAGGCAAAGTTTAAGATTGAACAGCACATTGGAAACGTTCTTGGCGGAGCCTATAATTTCGTAATGGTAAACAACTAGTTAACGTGCTCCAAAACTACTCGGACCGCAAACGCGCTCAAAATCCGGGGGTAGTCGAGGCCAAGGAACGACATTGGGAATGTCGCGTGAGGGGTGAAACGACGAGAATCGATCGCACGGACAAGCGGTAGATAAGATCAAGACCAGGATTTCGTCCATCGTCAGATAAAAACAACAAAGGACTCTGGTGAAAAGGATGCTGCGGGTGTAAAGGTGTCCCCAGAGGGATGGGCTGGCTGGCCGAGCGGCTGCAAATCCGGCTACGAAAAAATGCACAAAAAAACTTCAGCTTCAATCGTCCTGAATGGGGACCTGGACAGGCTTTCGACTAGAAATGCAAGTGGGTTTTATCGAGATATCCTGGTGCGCATTGGTGCAGAATGACGGGGGACGCGCTTAGACAGAGCTACGCCGTAGATGCAGCCATTTCGATAATATCGAGGCTTGGGGCGAGTTTTTAAAGGGGCTGGGGATGGCGACGTCATTTGTGAGTATTTGAGCATGTTAAAAGCCATTTCAGGGGATTTTCCAATTGCATTCAAAAAAAAAATTATCGGAGAAAGCTAGTTCTACTCACTATAAGAACGTTTGCGTACTTGAATGCATCATGTAATTCGGCATTACATGGGAGCCACCCAGGGGAACCCATACAATCTCCTGGGGTGGATGAATCATGGGTCAGGATGTGCTGAGCACATTTGACCTGACTAGAAGCACGCCCTTGGTGATGGAGGTGTGGTTTCTAATTACTTCTACGCAAGGTGGAAAGATCCTGACTGGACTTCGACAAAGCCATTGAAGTGGAAAAAATGATTAAAGGTTAGCAGCAGATTTTTTTGGATAAGTTAAAGAAGATTCACCAAGAGAGGAGACGAGCACGGGGTGGGAGAGAAAGGGTGTAGAGTAAGTAATTGGCCTCTTTTTCTAAATGTAGAGTAGTTTTTCTAATCAAAAATTGTTGCGATGTTTCGCTAACACTCAATTAAAAGTTGAGAACGCTCAACTGCTGACAGGAACGAAAATTTCAATGCTTGAATCCGGTTTTTACAGTAATTCATCTGCCGGCGGTCCTGGCTCGAATAGTCGCGGTGCGACGCATCCTGCAACTAGTAACACCTCTCACTATGCCTCCTACCCCGGGGATAAAGCTCCAAAGCATTTCATACCATTCTAAGAACAACCAGAACTAAGTTTTCGTTCCTATGGATTGCGATGTGCTCACTGACCATGACCGATCCGACTGCCTCTACTGTAGGGCTACACAACGTTCAGTTCAGGAAAGAAGATTCAGTAAGCGAAAGGCAAATACAGGTGCAGGAGATATGAAGCGGCTACAAAAGGGGAGTTACTGAAGTGATGAGGGTACGAAGTGCCAAATGGGCTCTAGAATGATGAAGAGTTCAGGTTCAGCTTTTACGGAATATCAGGGTAGGATCAAGATTGTTATTCAGCAACCTTACCAGTTTTTTCTGAAAGCTGCTGACTTTTTTCGGAAACAGTACTCTTTACTGAAAACTTGTCTGTTGGTCGTCATTCCGTCGAATATGCCGGGCCCGATTAAAAGGAAGCAAAGACGGGACCTTCACTCATTTCATTCTTATGTTAGCAAGCTCTTATGTTAGCAAGACAGTAGAAGTATGCAGCGATTAAAGGGGGAGCGGGGGGAGGGGGGGGGGGGGGGGGGGGGGGGGGGGGCGCTACATAGTGTTGAACGTCGCTCTATTACCTAGAACATCATCACCACGATGTAACGGCTCGCTTAGAAGGTGAAAGCAACAGGATAGAAGCGGAGATGGGTCTGAGGGGGAGTCGTTGATCGAATCTCGATTACATTCCGACCACGCTTACCATCCGCCCTCAGTCGGCTAATGTGAGCTAGACACGCTCGAGAAGGGAGAAGAAATGGGTTGCACGTGAGCTGCAGACGTTCCAAAGTTGACTCAGCAGGTCTGAGGGCAATAAGAAACGAAAGCTTCCATTTGGATGCAGCTAAGAAGGGAACCTCGGAATTGAAACACTCATCATAGATACAAAACAAAAAAGAAATGGAAACATGGAGGTTATGGGGCCTCAGAAGATAGTGGGAGTGACTCTGTTTCACACAAGTCCACCCTTGATCCCACCTCAAATTCTCATGCGGATTGTAACTCAATAGCCCCACGATTTCCTCTCTGATCGAAGCGAAACCGTTCATTGTATAGAACTCGATAAAAAATGAAGGCAGCAGTTATTCACCGACTTCCCCAATCATGGATCTTACACCGCAAATAGGCCCATAATTCCTAGAAATATTAACTTCCTGCAGCATACCTATCCTCCTAGGTCACATTGTTATTTTTCTCCATCCGAAGTAGAGTTTGCTGAAGCAGAAAATCGTGCTGGCCTTCCTTCACAACGAATTTCCCCACCAGCTCACCCCCTCCTCAATCACCTCCACCCCCATACCGCCTCCCCTACCGCCCTTCTACGTTACAACATTAATAAGGTCAACTAGTATAATCCCATACATAGTAATAGTATGTAGTAACTATCAGAATGGATTGATTGGTCCAAGGTATCGCCTACTGCTCCATAGATTACAAAGAAGTCCTTAGACTTCACTCACCCGCTTCGGTATCAAGCAACCCAAAATTAACGTAAAAACAAGAAAGTACAGTACAGTAGTAACAGAACCAAGTGGAAGACTACAGTTACTTGGAAGGAGCCCCGAGGAGGTGGCCGCGAGGGTGGTAGGATCGATACTCGATTTCGCAACCAAAAGGAGCGTTCCTGATTTCGATTTGTTCACTTGGCCATTTGAATCTGCATGTTGCCACCGTAAACCTGGAAAGTCTCCCAAAATTCCGTGAGACTAAAGCTGCCTTTCGAAAAAGGAGGTTTTGTGTTGAATTAGTAAAGCGTCATGTTGAGAAAGTCCACTTGGATTTAAGGGAGAGTTAAAGGGTTAAAAAGGAAAAGGTGTCACGGAGTGACAAGTAATTGATGTTCGACAATTTCCTTACAATGAGCCAAGTTCGTGAAAAAAGCTGAAGGGAAGCTTATAATAATATAGTTTTTATATTCATTGTAACTGATGGTAAGAGAGAATGTAGCTAGCCATTTTGACCCCTTTACGTCATGATTATTGTGGCCCTACTACTGACAACCAAGCTTTCCATCCCTCCAAGGTTGGCTAGTTGGTACCAGAATCGTTTGTAAGGATAAAAGCACTGCTATGTACATCGGCTGGTCACCGTAAGTCATCGTAGACGGCATATACGCATCCGAACATTCATTACGATTTCGAATGGAAGTCGAATGCGGGGCGCATCCCTCATATTTTTTATTACTGCTTAGCTATTCTATAAGCAATATTCTTACTCATGCACTTAGATTACCTCTAGCGAGCAGTGATCTGAGAGTGTTACGGTAACAAAAACAGGTTTATAGATTTTTTCTTTTGTGAATTTTTAACACTATTTTGTAACAACAACTATATTTATTTGGAAAACCATCATCTTCTCGACTATTCTCATGGAAAGCATCCAGCTCCCACCTAGTTATAGCAAGACTCACTCAGTGCTTTGGCAGGCCCCTCCGATTGGCGGGCCTTTCATTTATCCTTGACAGATTCACAACTGATCACCCAGTAATGATTATTATCTTTAACTAACTTTTTCAGTCCCTGAATATTTATTAAATCTCTTTACTGTTAATGACAGGGGTGATAGCCCATTGCGATGGGAGGAATTTTGAAGGCCTTACTCTATGGGGTTCCCTAATCAAATGAATGGATAGTACTTCCACGGTAGAACTCCCCCAAGAAACCTCCCCTAAGACATGAGCAAGGAACTCTTTCATGATTCGATATTTGCCAATTTGCATTCTACTTGCACCTGTTGGAGCGAATTGAAACAAGAATTAGAATGTTGGCTCGCATTCATGTGATAGTATGTGTAAGCATTCCATTATGCCCACAATTCTAGCTAGAATGAAATGTAGATTGTCAGCGAACAGAAGGACCCTTTGTCACTCATTCAACTTGGCTAGTCGGTATTTTTATTTGGATCATGATAAGAAAAAATATAATAGCTCTTAATAGGAATTCCCAGCATGCGCCTTTGTAACCATGGTGACTGACCTGTGCACCCGTATGCCGCGTTTGTATAGGCCACCTTGTATAGGCCACCTGGCTTTTCCCCCAAACATCTATATCTGGCTTCCCCTCTGGAAATGTAAACTGACAGTTCAATTTATTGAAGCCCACAAGCTGTATTTGTAAATTACTTTTAATTTACGTTTTCTTCCTATATTGAGTTCTGATTTTTTTTTGTGCCAAGCGAGGTCTCATTTGAGAATTGGAAATGGAATTGTTAACGGAGTGTAAATTGCAAGTAACAGCTCTACAAAAATGAATGGGAGTAAATCCACTACATACAGTCCCCATCTTTATCATTCTTTTATAATAAATTCAATTCAATACTCAAATCGAATTCATAATTAATAAGGTAGCAAATTTTTTGATATAACTCGTCTACAGCTTTTATTACTGTTCTCCCTGTCATCTAGTGAAGAAGACAGTCTTTGGTCATCTTCTTTGTGCATGTAATTCATCATATTAACACAAGATCCGTACCTTTTTGATTCTGTACCATTTTTGAAAATTGTTCCAACAATATTTCTTTTGTTTCCAAAAAATGACTTAATTGCTGGAGAAGGAAGGTTTTCCTTGATCGTTATAAGAAAAAGGTATCAATTTCGATTTCTTCACAGAGATGAGGCTAAAAGTCTCACACTCTCGCACATCCCCTCATCTGGATTCTGTGGCGGCAGTCGGATGGGCCGGTGGAGACGAAATATTTTCGTGTGCAGACGACCATATTTTACTGAAGTAAGATTTAAGTCTTCATTGTATAGATAACGAATTGGAACAAAAAGGAGTGTAAACGAAAAGGAACAACCAGCTCAGAATAAAGAAATTAAGAGGATAGTTACTGACTATGTGACTGAATTCATCGACTGCTCCAATTAGATGATTCTTGGCCTTTTCTGAAAGGCAGGTAAAAGGAGTTAAAGGTAGTTCATTCTCAAAAAGTGTTAAATGAATTTTTTTCTCCTCTACTTTCGTTTCGCACTTATTTTCATTACTTCTTACTTTATTTCAGGTGGAAGCTTGGTAATATGGAAGCTACAACAGTGACGGAGATGCCAAGGTTTGCCCAATAATTTTTCATTTACTGCCGTTGTAAAATGTGCCACACATTCATTTCTGCGCAGAATTGAGACGCAATTTGGTTGCATTCAAATATAGTAGGCCCTTACAGTGTACTATAGGGCCAGCCGATCCATGTGCAAAACAATTTTTACTCTCGATGTGTAACTATCCTTTTAAAACCTTAGCTGGATTGTTATAACTGCTTATACAGATAACGTTTTGGTCGCGAAAGCCTGGAAGCCAAGAGTATTTGAGATACATCTATGTCAAACACCATTTAGAACTTCAGTTTAGCTCAAGTATAACTATGGATATCTAGAAAGGCCTCATAAGTTACAAATGATAACCTACCTTGGATATAGAGACGAAGGCCTGTGGACCACCTTTCAAACTGCCCATGCAAGCGTTTTTGCAGTGTTTCGGCTCCGCGTGGCCAGACCTGACCCCCGACTTGAAGCCGGTGGCAATTGTACCTACACAGGTCGAGGAGCGGGGTGACTTCATCTGTTATGGCCAGACATTCGTCGTCCCGGTTCGGTTTGATTATTTCGCACCAGTACAGAATGCTTTCGAAGTTCACTCGCGGAGCACTTGGACTCCCGCAACAAAATTTTGACTGGCACCTCAAACTCTTCGATTTGTACTCTTCTCGGAGCTGTAGCCGAGCAAATATGCTACGTCCAATTACTGGCCTGGATTAGATCCTTCGATAAAATCCTCTTACAGTACACTATTCGCAACATCTATGCACTGGTTTCCTACATCAGGACGACACGATGCTCACGGAGAAGTCTTCGCTCTGTCCTGTTCAGATGGTAAATCAGAACTTTTGGCTGTTTTTCACCATCGAGTGGTTGTCGGAAAACTTTATCAATTCAGGTCAGATCCATTTCGTCAACAAAATGGGTAGAATTGAAAAATCTGTCAATGCTCATAGAGGAGCAGCCCTCATGGTTCGGTGGAGCGCCGATGGCACTGGGTTGCTAAGCTGTGAGTTTCTTCCTTTCTTTCGATCCGGTTTCTTTACTTACTTGGTAATTTGTTGAAAGGGTTGTGAAAGAAATTGTTCGAGCATCAGCAGCAACGTGAAATTCGCGACCTATGTTTGACTCGTCACGATTGGTCCCACTGCAGTTTCCCCCTTCATGACCAGTTAACTGCATTCATGTTGTTTGGGAAATTAAAGACACACACCATAAGGGCTAACTGAGTAAGGCTAAAAGAATAGCGAATTGAGATGTTATTGCGACTGGGTGAAAGTCGAATGTATAGCGTACTCCTGAAGGCCCGAAATACAGATTAGAAAGATCACGCTTTTCAATATCAGAGCTGTCACAGGATGGATTGTCACCTCTATCAACCAATAAATAGCCAACCATTTGCTCTATGCAGGTGGAGAGGATGGCACCGTAAAGCTGTGGTCTCGTAATGGACTCCTCCGATCAGTTATCGCTCAAATGCCACATCCTGTTCATTGGTAAGGAATTATTTTTATTGACTATCAAATAATGTTTTTAATTTTACTGTTAAATTGGAGGCAAGGCGTGCCCACTATTTTATCTGAGAGAATTATCAAATTCAATTAAGATGAAAAGTACGGAATTTGCGGAAATAATCATTATGCCGATGGAATAATATCGCTCATTTCAGCTGCTCTTTTGATATGACATCAAATAATGTTCTATATCCAAACTATGATCATTGCTACATAAAGTCGTTGAAGTCTCAGGTAAGTGATGGCATAAGAATCGTTCAATTATGAATACAAATGATATAAAGGTACCCCAAAACGGTCATCAGCTAAATGGCTTTTCCTTTTCTTGTAAGTGATCAAATAAACGAATACATTAATATAAGTACCTTCAAAAAGCGCTACGATTTCCGGACGAACAAATCCATAAGGGGAAGATCACCCGTTTACGCTCTAAAAATTAGGGACCACCCCTCAAATGGAAGGCGCACGATGGTCTCGTATTGTGCTGCGATTGGTCCAAAGCATCTGAATACATCGTTACTGGAGGAGAAGATTGCAAATTCAAGGTAGGTTCTTATTTTTAGTTTGGGTGGACCGTAGAGACTCAAACCTTCTCTGAAAATCCTCTACGACTTTAACGGCCTTGAATAATCTTAGAATGACAAAGCTTAATGACTGGCAGCCGTGCGTCAGGCATAAATTGAATTTGTCCATTCCCGTACTTGAAATGCACTCTTGATCTGCACAGTTCATAGAAATACGACACAAAGAGGTAGCGAGAGGTGCTGAGCTCTGGTTGGCTATTAGAGTCGTTTCATCAATCGCAGTCGCCTTTCCCGCATTTTCACACCCACTGGGCTCACATGATGGGTCTCTTCTTAGCGCAAGTTTGGTCACCGTGGGTGTTCCACTGAAGTCAATTCGTAAAAGGTGCATTGTCCGGGAGGGGTTAAACCCACGATTACTGCCGGTGTTAGGTTCAGAGTCAAGAGTACACCGACCTCAGCTACTATCGAAGTTTTAATTTTGTTAAGCTTTGGGACAGTTTCGGGCGCAATCTCTTCACATCCATTGCTCTTGATTATCCGATTTCGTCAGTGGCCTGGAGCCCCGATGGTCAATGCTTTGTCGCCGGCTCATACAACATCCTTCTTCTGTGTGATAAAGCAGGGGTATGTACTCAGTAATAATATCCGACTGATACTGCTCATAACCCGATTGTTTTCAGTGGTCCCACTCTCTTGAAAAACTCTCCACTGGATCGTTACTATCTTTGTGCTGGTATGACGATTCTACCCAATTAGTTGGCGGTAGCGGAAGTGGCCAAGTAATTCATGCCCAGCTCATTGAAAGGTGACTTATGAGGAAATATGGAGAGAAGCTGCGCTTCCATTGGCGGGCAGGTTCTTTTCACCGATAGCAGTCGTCCATCCCACGACCACTGGGCTCCTAACTTCCAGTGGTCTGATATGGTGATAATTTGCAGTACAGAGACGAGCGGGAGCATGGAAGTTGTACAAATGAAGCGGAACCTTCTGGAAGTTCGCGATGTGAGTGTCGATTTGGCCCGTGAACAACTGGAAACCCGTGATCGAATCTCCCGGTTCGCTATTGCCTACGATCAACTGGTGGTTGTCACAACCCAGCAACTATACATCTTTAGGTAACTTAAGATTATTATTGATCTAAAAAAAAACCTCCCTCACGACTTCCTGGAATCTGGGCATTCATCTGGGCATTTTTTATACTCGGTGATTTTATGCCCAGAAGTTTTTTAACCCGAAATAATGTAATACATTAATATATACCAATATTTATACCCACCGCAATTTGGAGTTGAGCTGAATTTCCAGTATTGCACCACTCACGACAGTTCTTCCAGCATCAAGCACCCAACAGCACCTGCCTACTTCCTTTTGTAGTTTGCTTTCCAAAATGGATAAAATTCTATGAGTTTCGAGGTATGCTTTTAGTCCCTTGAGAATGAGTCAAAATGTCAAGCGAAGTCCTGCAAGTAAGGTAAAAAGAAATCTAATCTGCAATAGAATCACTGAATATTTATTGTATTATAGTTATGGTGTAACTATAATATTCAGTAGTAACGACACATACCAGTTCCCAAATTATTCTGAATTTTTTTTGCACAAAATAATTCTGAATGTTTAATAAGACTGGTTTTTCAAAGTTATGTCAATGGTGTCGCCGATTTGTGATTTTTTTCAGTTCGAAAAATTGGAACACTCCAATCATCGTTGAACTAAAGGAGAAGGCGATCAAACTAGTCCTACAAGCAAGCAAGTACGAATAATATATTTTCTTTCCTTGCACTAACACTGTTACTTTTGAGCAAATCAGATTGAAAACCGAGAAGGATACAGTAGTTATCAAAGACACAGCTCACGATAAAAACGGTTCCTGAGAGTGTCTATGGGATAAATCTGTAGCCCCCAAGCATAGGACAAGGGACGCTGCTCGTTCGAAAAACGGCCCATATGAGGCGTATTATGGTCCTCAATAGTGGAATAGCCGGCATACGAACCCAAATGCGGACGAGTTCTCACGGCGTTGTAGAAGCAGTAGAGGTTGCACCATCCCCATCAGGACCCACACGCACACAGGTAGCTTACTGTAGCCAGTTTTACGCAATGGCACACACACATTCGTACAGCTCGTCCAGATATCCCTTCCATGAAACTTTTGTCGCCTCATTTTCGTTCAACCCCTAATCTTTCTACTTTTTTGGAGCTTTCTATTCCTCCAAATGCACTGACTTTCTTTTTTTCCTTGCCACTTTTGCACTATTCTAGACTACTACTTCCATTATTCCTCTAAAAGTAGATACCCGAAGATTATCATGAATTGTGCCTCCACGAGGAGATGGGAAGACAAATAAGACTCCGGCCAGAACTATCAATTTTCCTCTGCAGTATTGATCAGATTAGTACTAACAGGATTCTAGACAACGGCTTGCACACATATTTCTTCGCATACATCGGCAAACTCAATGAAAATCGCATGCGGTGGCTATCCCAAGATTCTCTGATGCCAAGCGTTAGAATTTTCATTATCCAAAGATAGAAAAAGCTGATTCGCGCAGCGAAAAAAAAAGGACGAATTTCTTATCGCACACTCATCTGTACTGTAATATCATTTTCCAATCTGCGAGCGCGCTTACGGACTTTCACTTTTGATATTTATTTAATTATTTATTCATCTGTATTGACTGTATTTAGACTATTCCTTGTATCGGATGGACAAACACTGTTCGTGTTCAATTACGAAGGTCGAAATCTTAGCGAAATTAAAATGCCAAAGGGAAAATCAAGTTTAATAAGTAAGTCAGCTTGAAATACTGCTTTAATTACTGATCAGTTACCTATGAGAAGAGTCCAACTGAGAAATGTCAAAATGCAGAACCTTTGTCGTAGTGATTGTATTGGTGATTCAAAAAGTAGCCAGTATTGAGAAAAATGGTGATTGAAAGATACGATACTCTTCAATTCAATGCTAGGCCATCACCTGTGAATTACTCTAATTTCAGCCGAAATGAGGAAACTTTCCTTTCAACCCTGTGTCTGCCAGGTGACGCCAGTTCCTGTTCACCAGTGAAAGTAGACATATAGACCAGTTTTTGCCTTAAATCCTTCCCTTCCCGGTAATCCGCACAGTTTCAAAGGCCCTCTATTCCTTTGGAACGTTCCCTTTCCCTTTTGTACATCGCGATAAAATCGTTACAAATTTCGCTATGCGAACAGACGCCGCCGTGCTCCATTGGCGCAGTTGGTTAGCGCGTGGTACTTATAAGACTAAGAAATGCCGAGGTCGGGAGTTCGATCCTCCCATGGAGCAAATGTTTTGCAATGTTCATTTGTGGCCTTTGCATGTACCTATTGATCTCTGACCAGCATTTCTCCAGTTATGCTGATCCTAACTTTAGACTGATGAATGGTCTGCAAAAGTTACGCTCCCGGGTGGGCTCGAACCACCAACCTTTCGGTTAACAGCCGAACGCGCTGCCTATTGCGCCACGGAAGCACTGGTTCCGTCGCTCCGCAAATGTTCTTTCAATGCCTTCGTTTCTAGCTGAACAAGATTTCTGCAATGACTGAAGCTAGTTAAGAAATCAGCAATTTACAAAGTGATAACTGCCCGGAGTGATAAGCTAAAAGTCGGAGTAGCCAATATCAAAAGCGTAATCTTCTTACAAAACGGGCTCTTGTAATACCCAAATAGGGTGAAATTCCCTTTTCTTTTTCCGTAGCTTCTGCTATGGAATCATCGTAGCAGCGTAGAAATTAGACCCACCGACGTGTACGGAAGCTCCTTTCTGCTGGTCTGAGGTCGGGATGAACTTCCTTATCTGTAGGAAGAAAGAAGGGGGAGGGGGGAGAGCGGGAAGGGGGGGGGGGGGGGGAGGGGGGGGGNGGGGGGGGGGGTGAAGGTAGGGGAGGAGTGAAGGATTCAAATAGTCCACCACCATAATCCCGTAATCTCATCTCCTTGATGGGGTTGCAGCTTTTTTTGAAGTTTTTAAAATTGGCACAGGAAACACTCCATCTCTGAGAGAAATCCCAATTTCTGCTGATTATGAAAAGAAAATATTTTGGATATATTAGAATACAGTTTTTTGGTTGTTCACAATTTTCTTCTATTTTCGTACTGATAATAGCTGTAAAGATAGCTATTGCCGTTTCTACACACCACCAATGGGTACTGCTTATGCACTTAACATTTACTACTCCTTCCTACACCTTTCGTCTTATAACTGCTATTTACACATGAGACTACTGACTGTAAACAGCTGTTGATGACCTAGTAACAGCTGGTACAACAGTTATCTTCAGATTCAAAGACCACGTCTCTTTCAAACGATACGGTGGCTTTGGTGGACCGCGATGAGACGTCATCGATTTATCTCTTCGATCCTACCTCGGCAAAACCTCAAGGGGATGAAAAAATCACACACGAGGTCAGCTTCCCTCGATCCTCCTTGGCCCCCTTTTGGGTCGTTTTTATGGTTTTCTTACAACTAAGCTCTAACCTATTGTAAAGCAAATTTTGAGATTTACTGTTGGCGGGCCGGGGATGAGCGCTCGGAAACCATGCCTCAAAAATGAAGCATCTGATCCTTCACCACCCTCTACAATAGGAATCATCTTCGACTATTCAAGTTCCACCTGAACACTGGAGTAAATAGCCTCTGACTTTGACATATCATTTTGCCGCCTTCTCTTTTTTCAAATTTCATACGAGCCTCCAAAAATTCCTTCGTCTTTTTTGTCAGCTAACACATACATACAGTAATTTTCACAACTTTCATCATTTTACAGCATGAAATTATGGAACTCACGCTTTGCCAATGTGGTCCAATCGCCGACAGAATGCTTGCATTTCGTGACAGCGAAGGAGCAGTGTTCGTGGCAAAAGTGAGAGCACTCGGTGTTTCTCAGAAGATTGCCAAAATCGGTGAGGTATTTTTGATGGAGATTGCTCACAATGGAATTGTCCTGAAAACTTCCTCTGAATTTACTTGTCGCTTCCTGGGAAATTCTATTAACGTCCAAAAGTTAAAAATGCTTTTTGTGGGAATTTTGCGCCTATTTTTTCGGCGAATAAGTATGTGGCTTTCTATTAGGCATGTGATTTTCCAAAAATTTTCTGGTCTTTATCGGTATGGGTCAGGATGCGCCATTCGATAGCCGCGTTCGTGTAATCTAGTTTAGGGGTGCGGCACGATGGCGCAACCTGATCTATGCCTCTGATTCGGAACAATGAAAAGCTACCATTCTTTTAAGCTCCTTAACCACGCTTACATGGGCTTGCCCTATTTCTTGCTACCCTCTTGGATCCTCCTGAATTCCTTTTACTGACCTCTGCACGTTTTGTTTTTTCGCATCAACCTAGCTTGACTATAAAAAGCTACAAAAACTTAGCATCAGCGAGATAATCGTTCCGAACACCCATGCAGTTCCAATCGGCTGGCTTGGGAAGAAAAACTTCTCCATTATTCCATTTGATGCACAAAAAAAATCAAACAATATTTCAGGTTCTTCCGTTGAACAGCTTCTCTTCAACGATGTCACCAACATGCTCGTCGGCGTGGGAGACGGACGTATTGGTATGTACTGAAGGACTGCCCCAATCACCAGCTATAATCCCATCCATATGTTTTTACAGTCATTTGGCCGGCTGTCGAAATAGCCTTTATCAATCGCTCTCTGTTAGAGCGATCAGTAATGGAGAAGACCATAACGGGCCTCGGCAAATTTCCCGTCCTGCGAAGGTTTGCTTTATGCTAAATATTTCTTCAAGAATAGTTATGGTATCATCTTTGAAAGAACCCCTCCGTCTTTTGGGAAGTGTGATAGATGGGCTAACTAACATTTCCTACTTTGCACAGTCCACTTGTCTCATGGGGTTATACATTTCCTGCTAACCTGGCTTAAGTCGGGCTGGGAATGACTTGACAGGGAGCAGCTGCTATGGCCTCCGGGCCAGAGATGCCAAAAAAAGAAAGTTGTAGTGGCCGAAAGATCCAGAAAGTTGATGATCCTGCTGGGTTTAGGTTCAAGGGTCAGACGCGAGTATTTGTGAAGAATTTTCGTTTTCAGTTTTACTGGTAGCACTATCATTTTACGTCGTTCTGATGGCTCCGTTGTCACAACTCTCCTTCCACCGTTCGCTTCATGTCTTCTACGCAATGTCTCACAATCCAAGTGGGACCGAGCGCTTCGCCTTTGTCATCAAGTTCAGGTCTGTTTGAGCCTATCTTAGTAGGCATTATGCCTCTATGATCCCTCACACATGTTGCTTCAATTTTATGTAAGATTTCCGATGTGGCCATGGAGGAAGACAGCGAGTCACCTTACCTACGATGCGATCCTCCAGGCTCATTTAACCGATCCAACTTCCGATTCACGAAATGAAAACGCTTGCACCGAAATCTACTGTAGTAGGAAATGGTCAGATGCTGGTTGTGGAATTCAAAAACCTTCAAATACACTACAGTACGGGACTTGGCAAGCTCTGAAGTCATTGCAAAACATACCTTAATCTCCAACTGTACCAACTTCCAGATGACTGTTGGCGTTTTGTAGTAGGAGAATGAAGTATACGCCCTGAAACACCTCGGAACTCATTGGACCATTTACTTTTTAGTTTTTGTACAATCTTAAGCGAGTCCAACGCTAAAGATTGTACAAAAACTAAAAAGTAAATGGTAAATACCGACAAAAGATAAAGTATGTACTATTGTAGAGTTCAAATGCTCTCCCAGAGAGAGGTGAGAAAAGTAGAAGCGATGAGGAAAATATGAAAAAAAAAGCAGCCTCTATAGAAATAACGTTCTGAAGTGGGTTGATCGTTGATTTGGTTCAAGTTACTCTGTTTTTAATCGATTTAGAACAACTTAATCTCTCTCAGGCAAAATGGGCCTAATTTTTCAACTTATTCGCAGTATGACCCTTTCGAAGCGCATCAATTGACTACTGAAGGCTTTGCAAACGATTTCCTATGAATGAAAAATTGAAAAGAGCGGATGTATCCATCACTCTTTTCAGAATGATGCTATGTGGGCAGTACTGGCAGGCCTGGCAACAGCAGCAAAGCATCTTTATACCTGTGAAATCGCATATGGAGAACTGGGAGAGGTATGTTTCTTTTTTACCACCGAGATGACCCATAACCCTCTCACTTAGTTCTGCAAAAAGTACCATCACGTTAGTATTTTACAGATTGAAAAAGCAGAAATGCTTTCAAAACTGCGAAATCAAACCAACAGAGAAATCACAAATGCAAAAATGACTCTACTGGCAGGAAAGGTAATTAGGAGACAATTTATTATAAAATAGCCTAAAATGGTTGTTACCCAGAATAATTTCGATTTCTACCCCCATATGACTAAGTAAGACCAAAAGTATTTTAAAAACTCGTAGTTAATCTTTTTTGACCGAGTATTCTTTGATCCTTGACCCGGAACTTTCTTGCCCTTTCTTATACAAAATACATAAGGCGATTTAGTAGGGTGATGGTGATTTATGAATTTCGGATTGCTTACCTTTCATGGTAAGCACTCCGAAATTAAGCCAGCAACTGCGTAGCGGCTGGGTGAAACAATGACAGAGTGACAATGACAGAAGCAATTCATGTTACACAGTGAATTCTATGACAGAAATGTTAAAACGATTGAGCGCAGCTATTTCTCGCACACCAATACGATACTCACTTTTCCACTTCAATCCCTCCCTTTCCACCTGAATCTAGGGAACCAAACCCATCGTATACACGCCTATACTGCTCTGTAGATGAAAAGGATTTCTCCTGAACCTTTATTTCATTTCCTAAACTCAGAACCACAGGCACCGGTGAAGCGGCGAACGTCCGTTGCGCGCGTCCGTCGAAAGAAGGTCAGCCCGCCCACTTCGCGCGCGGCGCACTCCACTGAGGTTCGGGAAGACATTAATTACAGTACCACCATGTGTGAGTGGAGCGAAGGATTTGCATTTGTCTATGTTATCCTCTCTTTGGCTGACTACCGTGGAGAAAGCGCAAATCGTATGCCCCGCTTACAGCTGCGACGTCTGTCAAGTATCGCGGGCTGACCCGCCGCATGCGGCGTGACCTAGTTTCGACGGACAACGAAGCGCACCCCTACAGAATGGCTCAAATTGACTCCTACCACTTCATACATTTCCAACTCAAGCGGAAAATTCTTTGAGATTCATTCTTCTAATAAGGCAGTTCAAAATACAACGCCGCCTAACAGTTTTATTGAATACTGCTCGGGTGACTGTCGTCTTTTGTAATTCTCTGAGCTCTCTGTTTTCATGTAAATCACATTTCATCTAAGTGTTCTACTAAGTAATAACAAACAGATCGATGAAGCCGATGCCTTGTTCGAGAGAGGAAAATGTATCTTCGAAGCTGTCATGTTGAACATAGTAATGATGCGATGGGCCAGGTTTGTTTTTGAATCTGTAATAAGAACGACTATTAAAATAAATAAAAAACAAAATTACAGAGCTCTTGATTTGGCAATCAAGCACAAATCGTATCTGGAGATTGTTATGGGGTACAGGCAGAAATACTTGGAAAATTTAGGAAGGAAGGAAACTGACGAAAGGTTTCTCAGTCACATGAGAGAGGTATGTGGATGATTTACAATAAGTAGCATTACAATAAGATTGGGATAACAAAGCATACATCAAAATGATGAAACTAAGATAAAAAAGAAGTTGTGCCAACAGTGAGCTCTGAGACGGTCTGGTGACGGCCGCTCGAAGTCATTGATTGGTCGTAGATCATATCGAAACCACACCATTCGTATCAAGTAGAGCTGTATGTGTATGTACTATATGAAGACCTGGATATCTCAAATCCCTCTAAACTCTGCATAAAGTCCATTTATCACAGAGTATCTGCCTACCGTTAATTCAGGTGGAAATTGATTTTGATCATATACGTGAAACAGTCGCCGAGCTGGAAGCTGCAGAAGATGGCAACAAATAGACTCGAAGGGTCCTCGTCATACTCCTCTACTGTTGTTTTTAACAATTGTATATATTGCTTGAAAGTGATAAATATGGAAGTTTTTTTATTCGTACCTCATCAGATTACGAAACACTTGCTGGCTAACACTAAAAAATCATCCAAGGATGGAGATTCCTCAACAACCGGTGCAAAACACAGCTTGTATGTATGTGAAGAACGCTGTGCATGCATGCACTTAGTAGAATTGAGCGATTGCTAGTCCTTGTTACCAGTAGAGTTTACTACCAGTTCAAACCCAGTCGCCTAGCATTGACCTTACCACAACATAGTTTCTTCCCTCAGGTACTTCCCCTCAGTTTCTTCATTTGCGAAAGTTGGCGATTCAATCCTGCAAAATCCCCTCACTGCAAAACTGTAGCCCCGCCCACCTCATCTGGACAAACTTCTGTGATAAATCGTTTTCCCTTCTTTTTAAACAGTGGCTAGCTTCTCTAGGGTTCCTAATAGCTTTATGGAAAAGATAGACGAACCTCGAATTCTTCCTGAGCCTCATATTACTCGCTGCTTTCCATGTTCTCAAGCGCAACATTTTCAGCTTCTAGAGAGGTTAACCCTCTAGCCTTGCGATCATAGAAGGCCTCGGACAGGATTTTCAACCAATTCTTTCAATCATTTAACTTCAGCTCAACGATTAGGTACCAGTCACTGAGTTACGTACTGACATGCCAGAGTTACCATATGGTCATGTACCACCAAAAATCCACTTCCCAATTGAGCGTTGTTGAATTTTTGGAAAAAGAATAATATAAGGTTAAAATCTAAGAAAGTAATAGTTAGTTTCAGATCTCATTCCGCCATTCTAAGCAGTTTTAAGGAAGAAATCCATCAGTTTCTTGAAGCTTTGTTCAAAATACGGGCATTCTGTCTCTCCAAAAGCACAAAATACAAACTGACCCTTGTTTCAAGGATTAGTAGAAAGGATTTTTAGTCAAGATCAGGCCTTTTAGAAGGGCACAATTTTTATTCTGGAGCGGTTGACATGTGTCAAATGTAAAATTATTCACGAAACACTTATTGTTCAGTGTTATGTTGTTGTGTTGCTTATTGTATATCGTCACTTGTGTAGAATTTGTTTTTTAAGTCTTCAGTCTGTTTTTAAGTCTAAAAGCATAGTTATACTGAAACAAATCAAAATTACTATCTATAACTGCAAATTAAAATCAGTCTGTATCACTAGGTTTATAAGAGGCTCATTCTGACTTTCTCTGTTTAAGAATGATATTTCTTAGCAAGGATGCTTTGCAAACACTGCAGACCGTCAACAATTTTGTATCGGTGGTATGCTCACTGTTTATTTTTGGATACATAATATGGCGTATCCTGTGGAATTATACCTCTCTAACACATTATCAGAATCTTCTCGTCTGGCAAGCTACCGTTGGCATATGCAGTTCGGTGTTGAGGCTTATAACGAATCGGGTTTGTCGTGGCTACACTTTACTTGAACAATTGAAAATTAAATCATTAGTTAAAATAGCAAAAAAGATAAAGTCTCCGGGTTTAATCAATCCTGTGTCGTTGGCCCCATGAATTCGACTTCCATTTGGACCTAAGTTTGAATGTGTATGGGGGCTATAAAATGACTTGCAGTGCCCAGCTGATGTACGAGTTAGTTCTTTTTTCTCCTAGACGGGTTCCGTACCACTTATCCGAGCCCGGAACGCTTGAAGGTACCGTAACTCCATTGTTATTTTCTAATACAATCCAAGTGGATTTTACGACTGCATATACATATAATGACTTGAGAATCTGTAAGAACAATGCTTGTATTACGTTAAGAAATGGGAGCACTTCGCATTTGTGTAGAGAAGCGATTACAAAAAGAAGCGGTACGATAGGTTTGATAAGAGATTTAACTAAGTATTTAAGCAAGTTATCAATAATGACTTATAGTAATACATATGATGTCATGCCGATATTACGGTAGGAATTTGTAACATGCAATACGGTAATTCCATTTTGTGCAGGCAACTGCCTTCATAATGAAATAACGGAAATTTCGGTAAGACATAGCAAACTATTCAATAAAATAAGTATTAATTACAGACAATTACAGACCGCGACAATCGATATGACCTTTCAATACGGCTATACATTTCTCGAATGGCCTCCATCGTCGACGAAACTCCTAATCTCCATTCTAATCACTTTGGTGGCAGCTGAGGCTATTTTATTGGCAATTTTCAACATTCATCGAGTACTGATCTTCACAAAGTATGTGAAAATATTTCGCTCTTCAAGAATTTCTATTTCAACGGGATTGCTTTTATAGACCTTCCCGAATTCGGATATTCTACATTATTGCTGCACCTTTATCAGTGTCATACCTTATCATGGCTGGGACTATCAATTTTTTCCTCAACGTAGGTATTTTATTTGTGAAAGGATGAAGGAAGGAGTTTTTGGCGCTGGATCAGTTTCGGGAATGCGCCCCGCATTCGAATTTCATTCAGAATCGTAGTGTTGCTTAAATGGGGCCTACTCAATGGGCCAATGTGCAAATCAGCGTTGACGAGTTTGGTATCAATGAACCGACCCCAGACGGATGGAAGTTTGTTTGGCCCGAGCAAGTCTCGACAAGGAAACTTTCTTCTTCTGTACTTGCTATCAAAAACAGTATCTGCTGTTGCGATGCTGTTTTGTTCGATGTAGCGCATAATTAACTTCTTCTGTTTGAGTGTAGTAAATAGGAGTTTTCAATTCTCTTGAGCATACGACGATTGACTAATCTATGATTATTACGAAACAACAAGCGCTACATCCTTGTCTGCCACGTACTTCGAAAGAGAAAAAAAAATGAAGCTATGGGGAACGATAGGGGAAAGATAGGGAAAGACCGGCAGTCAGATCAGCTGCGCAGGCGAAAATTCATTAGTTGCAGCAATAGTAGGCTATCGAATGTTATTACTAAGTTCTTGCACGATGTAATTACTCTTACCTAAAAAAGTCTTTTTGGGCATCATCGTAGCTCATTGACGTTATTGGCATACTATGGTACCTATCCGGGGACTTAGGCTAAATGTCCAACGCGGGGAACGGGATGAGAAGCTTATGGGCTTGGGCGAGCGACAAGAACTAGTTAAAATCTCACCGTGCTATAGGAGCGAAGTGCATCACGCTACATAAGGAGGCGTGGCCTTGATAGCAACATCAGTGAAGGACTTTGACAATATTCAGCTCACAACAGATAGACTGCTCGTCCGGCGCAAGATCCAGTTGTAGACAAGGGGCAAGCGCCGCCTCCGGTCGGCTCGCTCGCGCGCTCGCGGGCCAAATCACGGACTATGAAGGCAGCTATAGACTTACCAAATGACCACCATGTCCTTTGATATGCTTGCATACATATTTGTTAAGTACAATCAATTGGTTAATTTCTTTCAGAAAGTTTTCAAACTCTGCTTCTACACGCTTTACCTATTTATTCCGGTCATCATTTTCACATGCTATTTTACTCTCCGACGACACTTCAAAATGGCCCACTACACGGATCGAATCAGAAAATTGCAGAATAAAATGTCGAATGGACTCCTTTTACAGGTTACTCTTTCAAACGAGATCTATCTTAACCCCTTCAATCCTTCAACACATCGGAACATGAATTTGGGCATGGAAATTCAAAGGTTCTAAAGGAGTCCGGTGTTAGCCTCTCAAAAGACGATGACAGGGTGCACCCTAATGAATTCTAAGATCCAACAGCTTGACGATTCGTGATGCTTGTGCCAGTTCCTAAGATTGGAAACCAGAATTAGAACCAAAATAAAAACGAGTGCTTTCTAATTATAAGGCCCATCCTTATCATTTCAGATAACTTTACAAATAACCATTTGTTTTAGGTTATCCTACACTTTGTCGCTATCGCACTACTTGCTTCTGTAGATGCCGTTATAACTCCGTCAAGCAGAATCTTCGCTCTGAAAAACGAGAATACAGTAGTTATTGGCAAGTCATATGCTCTTGTAAGTAATATTTCCAAATAGTATACATTAATATATACAGTAATATAGTATACATTTCCTAAAATACCCTCTCCGGGTGCAAATCGAATGTAAGCGGCCGTTTTGCGTCAGATACAGGTTTTTGGCCAGAAGGGCGTGCCATGCTCGCCGCAATCACGCGCAGTGAAAGGGAAGATTTGAGTCTCAGTGGAAGGATACGGTAATTGCCGCAAAACTAATGCCGCGTACCACGGGAATTCGGGTATAAGTACCGCCACCAGCTAAAAAAAGGAATTTTCACTATCTGAGATGTGGGAACGCGGTACAACCATAACCAAAAAAGAAGAAAAGACGAAACAGGGACTCTGTCTAGAAATTGCCCCGATCGCATCTGGGCCTATCTGTAAAACTTGGACCCTGTGTTTATCGTTCTAAAGATCTAATTGTACAAATATAATGATCAGAGACTTTCAGGCAATTTACATGTTGTTATCATGGTATCCAGTGCTTATTGGTTTTATCATCAAATGGTCAATATCAGGATTTCTCACTAAAAACAAAGTGATCCAACCAAAAACTACATTGATATTGCCGGTTATCAGTCAGGTGCCACAAATACGGCCCTAAAATTCGTATTCTGCTGTAAACAGCTAATGGTTGGCTGTGATATTTGGTATTGCCACTGTATAAAGCAATTCATCACGTTGTTTTTTTGGTAATTTTGGAAGCTTCCATGGAGTTGCTATGTGAGGACACTGCCCTCACGTATAACCATAACATATCTGGCTACACCTTAAAATGGCAGAACTGCCAACCCAACTTCAACATGTACCGCTTTACGAGTTCGAACCCGGCTTTTAACTGCTTAAACCCTTTGACTCTATTGTCAAACATTTGGCCTAGTAGCCACTTCTATGTAAGCTGTTTTGTGTGCACCTCGTTCCAGCGCTTCAAGACCTGAAACAAAACGATGAACCTCGATCTGATCAACCGATTGCGATTTCACGAAATCTTCTGGTAGTTATGAGCAGGTGGTGTTCCTTTACAGTAGTTTCGTGAGAGCTCTCAGAAAATTCCCTGAAAATCTTGGACGCCGGTAAAATTTGCGGCCGATACTGTCCGAACACTCTTATCTACTTTCAGAGCAGAAGTGATTTCAAAAGCAACACTGTGCAAACTGTTTTTTAACATCTATGCATACTCAATTCAAACCAGTTACTGTAATGATGAAGTACGACTCAGATTTTTTCAGATAAGCTGCTTTTTCTAGGTACTTCTACAGACTATACTGGACGACAGACTATTCTGATCTTGATTTCACATGACCTTACGTTTTATACAAAGATCTCCTTCACAAATTCTTTTATTAGCCACCATTTTACATATAATCACGTTACACTATATGGCAGCCGATTGGATTATTGGGCATTAGGTCCGTTTTTGATGTCATAATCAATTTTCCTTGTCTGTTTCACTGTTGCTTTTGTCTGGCGTATAGTGCACGTGAAAAAATGCATAGATCCATAGCAGCTTAGAAAGCGCGTAGGAAAAGTGTTCCAGACAGAAGCACTGTAACTGGGAAGGCGAGTCCTTGGTTGCCACCATAGCAAAAGTGAAAGGAATTCCTTAAGAGTGCTTAAGATAAATAAATTCATAAGTGAGAGGTCCGCAACCCAGTGACGTCATGGGATCGCTACCAAGGATTAGGTGCAAATCTCACTTTGGCCAAGTCTTTCACTCTTTGAAACCAACCTTTCCACCTTCATCTGATCTGGAAACCTACCGATGCCGAATGTGAATAAACTGACGCTGACCATTTCGAACACTTCGAAGCCTAGAGCTAGGGTACCACGTATGGATTCTGTAATGGATTCTCATTATGTTGAACTTCTGCCCAGTGAAGAACTATTGACCCTTAACTGGTTAACCAATTCTCAAGATTTGGACAGCCATCTGCACCTACAGTACCCGCTTTCGTGCCAAGACTAGGTCTGCCTTGCTTGTTCTCGTGACTTACCATTAGTTCAATCAACACATTCGTGCCTTCCCAATCGGTTTAAGCACTGAACGTTCTGCTGTCGTCGTTTTCGTTAGGAAGGTCTTCGAACGTAGACCAACTCTTGCTTTAGTTTTGCACGATTATCGAGTTCATGTTAGAATTTGCTCCTACTCAGTATACGGAAGTTTTCCTTGTTTAGGAACTTTGACATCAGCTGAGTGGTATCATTGCAATGAAGTGACGGAACAGAGGAACTCGCCTGCTCTCCGTTTCTACTCAACTGCCCCCTCGCTAAGGTTGTGGGCTGCGCTATCTGTCTGCCTCAATGAGACCTATTTCGAGGTAATTGAGCAGTTATTGATCACTTTATTGATTGTTTGGGTAATAATGATTGCCATTATTCCCATTGAGATTTTGCTTAACTGAGCAGTGGTCACGTTTGTCGGCGAAAATGTAGTTGGGGGATGCCAGCGCCCTTTCGTGCTCTGCGTCTCTAACACCGGCGGCAGAGTGCATAGATCGCACAGATGGATTCCTCCCTTCTAAAAGTTAGGGGAGGAGCTCCGGAGTGGGAGAGATGATTATCTCGTGCAAAAAGCTGGGATGGGGTAAGAACTGAACATCCAACTGGTTCATCCTTCCCGGGGCTCCTTCCCTAACTTTTAGAAGGGGAGGAGCTCCAGGATGGGGGAGA